GTCTGGCATCTCACTATTATTAATGTCTAAGTTCTGAAGTCAAAGTTTAAGGGTTTGCTGGTTTTAGTTTTAGGTCTGGATCATGATTTAAGGCCCAGATTTACAATTCGGGATTCACAGCTTTGAGTTTAGAAGTTTAGGCGTTTGTTTTCTTTTCCTTTTTTTTTTTTTTTTTTTTGAAGCAGTCTCGTTCTGTTGCCCAGGCTGGAGTGCAGTGGCTCGTTCCCAGTTCCCTGCAACTTCCGCCTCCCGGGTTCAAGTGATTCTCCTGCCTCAGCCTCCCAGGCCTCAGCCTCCTGAGTAGCTGGGATTACAGGCATGCACCACCATGCCTGGCTAATTTTTGTATTTTTAGTAGAATCAGCGTTTCACCATGTTGGCCAGGCTGGTCTCAAACTCCTGACCTCAAGTGATTTGCCTGCCTCGGCCTCCCAAAATACTGGGTTTACAAGCGAGAGCCACCACATCTGGCCAAGGCTTAGCAGTTTTATTTGGGTCTCTGGGCCCATAATTTATTGGGGCTGGGGACTCTATTTTGGGATCTCTGGATGCTCAAAGGAGCATTGTAGGGAAAATGAAGGGTGCCCATCAGGCTTCCTGCCCATCCTTCCTGCAATCCCAGAGGTCACTAATCATTCTTTTTCCCTCTTTGCAGATGTTGGGTTCCAGCAGATACTTATGTTCCTCTGAACAGCCCAGAGGTAGCTCACTGGGTCCCAGTGAGAGGTAAGGGCTTGCCCCATCTCCCTTATAGCCCCAGCCACTCTCATTGAATAATTATAACAAAAACATTTGCCGAGCATTTACTGTTTGCTAGACTCTGCTAAACCTTGTTTGTATGATATCTGTTAATCCATACAACAACCCCATGAGGAAATGTGCGCCAAGATTCCTGCCATTTTCTAGATGAGAGTATTCTGAGGTGATCGGCAAAGATCATTTCTTATTTATTTATTTATTTTTGAGATAGGGTTTCTCTCCTGTTTCCCAGGCTCCAGCGCAATGGTGCGATCCGAGCTCACTGTAACCTCCGCCTCACAGCCTGTACAATATAGAGAGACTGTGTCTCTACAGGAAATTTCATTTAAAAATTTTTATTTTACTTATTTAGTTTTTGAGACGAAATTTTTGCTCTTGTTGCCCAGGCTGGAGTGCAGTGACGCGATCTTGGCTCATTACAACCTCCGCCTCCTGGGTTCAAGTGATTCTCCTGCCTCAGCCTCCTAAGTAGCTGAGATTACAGATGCCTGCCACCATGCCCAGCTAATTTTTGTATTTTGGTAGAGACGGGGTTTCGCCATGTTGGTCAGGCTGGTCTTGAACTCCTGACCTCGGGTGATCCACCTGCTTCGACCTCCTAAAGTGCTAGGATTACAGGACTGAGCCACTGCTCCCAGGGTTAAAATTTATTTATTTATTTTATTATTATTTTTTATTTTTATAAACTTTTTTTTTTTTTAGAGATGGGGTTTCACCATGTTGACCAGGTTGGTCTTGAACTGCTGGCCTCAGGTAATCCACCAGCCTTGGCCTCCCAAAGTGCTGGGATTACAAGCGTGAGCCACCACGCCTGGCCAAAATTTATTTATTTATTTATTTATTTTATTATTATTTTTTTTTGAGACAGAGTTTCGCTCTTGTTATCCAGGCTGGAGTGCAATGGCGCGATCTCGGCTCACCGCAACCTCCGCCTCCTGGGTTCAGGCAATTCTCCTGCCTCAGCCTCCTGAGTAGCTGGGACTACAAGCACGCGCCACCATGCCCAGCTAATTTTTTGTAGTTTTAGTAGAGACGGGGTTTCACCATGTTGACCAGGATGGTCTCGATCTCTTGACCTCGTGATCCACCCACCTCGGCCTCCCAAAGTGCTGGGATTACAGGCTTGAGCCACCGCGCCCGGCCCAAAATTTATTTTTTAAAGTTATTTTGTAGAGGCAGGGTCTCACTATGTTGCCCAGGCTGAACTCAAACTCCTGGGCTCAAGGGTTCATCCTGCCTCAGGCTCCAAAGTGCTGCGATTACAGATGTGAGCCACCGCACTCAGCCTTGTCACCACAAAAAAAATTTTAAAAATAGCCTGGCATGGTGGTGTGTGCCTAAAGTCCCAGCTACTCGGGAGACTGAGGCAGAAGGATTGCTGGAGCTCAGGATTTTAAGGTTACAGGCTGTTACACACCAGCCTGGATGACAGAGCAACTCTGTCTCAAAAAACAAACAAGCCAGCAAAACAAAAAAAACAGGGCAAAAGAACGTTCCAAGCAGAGGGAATAGTAAAGGCCCTAAAGCAGAAATAACTTGGCAGTTTAGAGAAAAAGTAAGAAAACCCATGTGGCTGGAGCTGACCTGTTCCCTGAAAGCCCAGAGGGCACAGCTGGGATTAGTGGATGAAAATATAGAGGCTGTGAGGAAAGAAATTGGCTAAAACCAGAACCATCCAGCAAAGAAAGAGGCAGCCCTGGGAGGTGGTACCTGGTTCCTGGAGGCCCCTGAGAGCAGAGCCCAGGTTGTACCTATTCAAGACAGCTGCCCAGGGGATGCCAAGACACTCAGTTCCTCCCTTTCTAACCTGTGTTTGCCCAGAAGTTTCACCCAGTGCTTTGTAAAACCCAGAGTAAACACCCAGGGACTGTAGTTTATATGAAACCCTCCGTGCCTCCATGTTCAGCTAATTTTTGTATTTTTAGTTTTGAGATGGGGTTTTGCCACGTTGGACAGGCTGGTCTCAAACTCCTAACACCAAGTGATCATCCCACCTCAGCCTCCCAAAGTGCTGGGATTACAGGTGTGAGCCACCACACCCGGCCTCCTTTTACAAGCTTTTAAAACACCAAGCAAGACTTTTTTCTTTGTCATGGCCGACTTCATAGACATGTGACCTATGTAGTCATATAGGGCCCTGTGCTCAGGATGGTCCACTGCTTGGTTTGATGCTCCGCTCTCACCATCTTGAAATTCTCAATTTTTGAAAAAGAGGCTGCCACATTTTCATTTACAATGCCCCCTGAACCCAGTACATTATGTAGCTTTTTTCGGGTCTTACTTGCAATTTGGTTTGTATGACAGTTTGATTCATTAGCCCCAAAGATACTGTCATCTCCAGAAGAAGGGGCTGTATTTGTTGTTGGAGTTTTTTGTTTTGTTTTATTTTTCAAGACAGGGTCTCATTCTGTTGCCCAGACTAGAGTGTAACCGAGTGATCATGGCTCACTGCAACCTCAACCTCCCTGGCTCCAGTGATCCTTCTACCTCAGCCCCGCAAAGTAGCTGGGACTACTGGCATGCGCCCCTGGCGCGGTGGAGTGCACTTCTACAAAAAATGAAAAAATTAGCCAGCCACCGATTCTCCTGTCTCAGCCTCCTGAGTAGCTGGGTTTATAGGTACCCACCACCATGCCCGAGTAATTTTTTGCATTTGTAGTAGAGACAGCATTTCACCATGTTGGCCAGACTGGTCTCGAGCTCCTGAGCTCACGTGATCCACCCACCTGGGCCTCCCAAAGTGCTAGGATTACAGGCATGAGCCACTGCTCCCGGCCAAGACAACTTATTTCTTGTCCTTATTTATTAACTCACTTCGTCACAATATTCCAGGCCCTGTTCTAGGTGCTAGGGGTACAGTAGTACCAATGACACAGACGACAGCCCGGTGCAGTGATCAGAGGTGTGAGAGCACCAGGGCGAGGGGGCCTTAGCAGTTGATGGGAGAGAGCCAAAGGAAGCAAGAGGCGAGAGCGGAATGATCAACTGGGCCAGGCCGCAAATGATCAGCCACATTAGGACGTTTTTTTTTTTTTTTTTTTTTTTTTTTTTGAGATAGAGTCTCGCTGGAGTGCAGTGGTGCAATCTCAGCTCACTGCAACCTCCACCTCCCAGGTTCTAGCAATTCTCCTGCCTCAGCCTCCCCAGTAGCTGGGATTACAGGTGCTTGCCACCACGCCTGGCTAATTTTTGTATTGATTGATTGATTGATTGATTGAGATGAAGTCTCGCTCTTGTTTCCCAGGCTGGAGTGCAATGGCACGATCTTGAATTACTGCAACCTCTGCTTCCCAGGTTCAAGCCATTCTCCTGTCTCAGCCTCCTAAGGAGCTGGGATTACAGACGATTGCCACCACGCCCAGCTAATTTTTGCATTTTTAGTAGAGACAGGGTTTCACCATGTTGGCCAGGCTGGTCTCAAACTTCTCACCTCAGGTGATCTGCCTGCCTCATATTTTTAGTAGAGACGGGGTTCTGCTAAAAATACACTGGCCTCCCAAAGTGCTGGGATTACATGTGTGAGCCACCGTGCTTGGCCTTATTTGTTTTTTTGAGATGGAGGCTCATTCTGTCTCCCAGGCTGGAGTCCAGTGACATGATCTTGGCTCACTTCAACCTCCAACTTCTGGGTTCAAGTGATTCTCCTGCCTCAGCTTCCCACGTAGCTGGGTGCGTGCCACCACACCCAGCTAATTTTGGTATTTTTGGTAGAGATGGGGTTTCACCATGTTGACCAGGTTAGTCCCAAACTCCTGACCTTAGGTGATTGACCACTTCGGCCTCCCAAAGTGCTGGGATTACAGGCATAAGCCCCTGCGCCCACCCCACATTAGGAACTTAAACTTGATCCTTAACAATGGGATGGCATGGAAAGGTTTGAAGCAAGATAGTGACGGGGTCAGATTTGTGTTTCAGGAAGGTCACCCTGAGTCTAGCAGAAAGTAGGGCTGGAAGAAGCCAAATGGTGGGGCTGGGTGAACTATAAGAATGTAAACACATGGATAGGGCAGGGCTCTGGGGTTGAAGAGAAGGTGATGGAGGAGGAGTGGGTAAGATCTGCTGACTGACTGGTCAAGGACTAAGGGGAAGTAACAAGTACAGATGATGCCTGGGATTCTGTCTTGAGTGTCCAGGCCGGGATGCGGGCAGCTCTAAAATGGGTAACACACACTGGTTTGCAGATCGAATGCAGAATTCAGTTTTGGATGTCCTAACCAAAACCAGCTTCTGTCCACAAACAGGAAGCAGAGGAAAAACCACACTAGCACACTGCAAGAGTTGGCACTGCTGCTGCCCATAGCCCTGAAGACCAAGAAGCTCACAAAGGTACAGGGAATAAAGGAGAGAGGGCAGATTTGGGAGGCAGGTCTTTAAATAGCAGCAAGTGGGCTGGGCACGGTGGCTCACTTCTGTAATCCCAGCACTTTGGGAGACCGAGGCGAATGGATCACGAGATCAAGAGTTCAAGACCAGCCTGGCCAACATGGTGAAACCCTGTCTCTACGAAAATACAAAAATTTAGCTGGGCATGGTGGCGCATGCCTGTACTTCCAGCTACTCAAGAGGCTGAGGCAGGAGAATCACTTGAACCCAGAAGGCAGAGGTTGCAGTGAGTAGAGATGGAGCCATTGCACTCCAGCCTGGGCAACAAGGGCAAAACTCCAACTCAATTTTAAAAAAAAGAATGCAGGAGGGAACAGCTCACCCAGCCGGGGTGAGAGGGGAAGGGAGGTGGCACTTCTGGAAGAGGAGACCACTGTGCAGAGGCACAGAGGAGGAGAAGCCAGGTGAGGGAGTGCGTGGCGGGAAGAGGAGGCTTTGCAGATAGAGAATACAGTATGAGCCGAGGGCCGGTGAGACGCCAGGGAGCATGTGCCAAAAACTGCACCAGGAGGCAGGCAGACCTTTTTTGAGACAGTCTTGCTCTGTTGCCCAGGCTGGAGTGCTGTGGCATGACCTCAGCTCACTATAACCTCTGCCTCCCGGGTTCACGCGATTCTGCTGCTTCAGCCTCCTAAGGAGCTGGGACTACCGGCATGCACCACCAAGCCTGGCTTATTTTTGTATTTTTATTAGAGACGGGGTTTTGCCACGTTGGCCAGGCTGGTCTCGAACTCTTAACTTCAAGTGATCCATCCGCTTTGGCATCCCAAAGTGCTGGGATTGCAGGTGTGAGCCACCACTCCCAGCCAATCTCTGTAGCCTTAGCAAGCCCCTTAGTACTTTGAGCCTCCGTTCCTGTAGCTGTAGCCCCTGTCTCACTGGGTTGCAGTGAGAGGGCTAGACAGCAGAACAGGAAGGTCTTTGCCAATTGAGGAGTTGTTGGGGTGGATGGGGAATGAGGTCCTGGAGCCTCTGTGTCTTTGGTCCCCAGCAGCCTCACATTGTCTCAAGCCCTGGATGATGTGCTCAACTCTTTTTTTTTTTTTTTTTTTGAGATGGAGTCTTGCTCTGTAGCTCAGGCTGGAGTGTAGTGGCATGATCTTGGCTCACTGCAACTTCTGCCTCCTGGGTCCTGGTTCAAGTGATTTTCCTCCCTCAGCCTCCCAAGTAGCTGGGATTACAAGCAAGCACCACCACGCCCAGTTAATTTTTGTATTTTAGTAGAGACAGGGTTTCGCTATGTTGGCCAGGCTGGTCTTGAACCCATGACCTCGTAATCCTCCCGTCTGGGCCTCCCAAAGTGTTGGGATTACAGGCAGGAGATACCGTGCTCGGCCTAACCCCATCTTTCTCTTGAGGCAGAAGGAGATTCTGGTGCATGCACTGCAGTACATTCAGTACCTCCAAAGAAACATCGATGCAGTCAAGGCCTTGCTGAAATGCCACGCCACCAGTGTGGAAGGTGGCCTTGTGGGTAAGTAGTTCAGCCAGTGTTTCCAGGTGCCTGCGATGTGCCAAGTGTGGTTCCGGCCACCAGGGATACCGAGCAACCCTTGTGTCAAGGCCTGGTAGAGGGGACAAAGTCAGATGTGCAAGATGCCGTGGGAACTCAGAGGAGCGGGGCCTTCAGGACAGTAGGAGACACAGGGAAGCCCTGACAGGCAGAAGAAACAGGCTGGGTGCGGTGGCTCCAGGACTGGGGAGCACTGTCTGGAAGGCAGGAACTGCAACTGGGTGCAGATGGGGTGGGGAATCTGACCTGTCTCCTCCATCCCTGCAGGGCTGGGGCAGAACCCAGCGTCAGGCCCAGCCAGGCGGAGGAGACACTCTACCCCCTCCAGCTCCCCAAGCTCGCAGAAGTCCCGTCTCCAGGGGGCCTGCCAGAAGCCTCGGAAGAAGAAGCTGACCCAAGTGTCAGGTACAAGCTGTCAGTGGAGGCGGAACCAGAAGCCCGGTCACCCAGGAGCAGGGCTCCTTCTCCAGGGAAGTCCTTATCTAGGGGGCCTTCTCAGCAACCTATGCCTGGGTTCAACTTCCAGCTCCTCCTTGTAACAGCAGTAAGGCCTCACACCCAGAAAGTTGGGGTTCACTGGTCTGCGGCAGAACCTGGCATCAGTATTTTTTTTTGAGACGGAGTCTTGCTCTGTGCACCAGGCTGGAGTGCAGTGATGAAATCTTGGCGCACTGCAACCTCTGCCTCCCAGGTTGAAGCAATTCTCCTGCCTCAGCCTCCCAAGTAGCTGGGATTACAGGTGTGTGCCACTATGCCTGGCTAATTTTTGTATTTTTAGTAGAGACAGGGTTTCACCATGTTGGCCAGGCTGGTCTCGAACTCCTGAGCTCAAGTGATCTGCCTGCCTAGGTTTCACGAAGCCCAGGGATTACAGGTGTGAGTCACTGCGCCTGACCAGTATTTTTTAAAGCTTGCAAGCAGATTCTGACGTGTAGACAGGGGTTGAACAAAGAGGCCTGTGATTGAGGATCTGGGCGTACCCATTCCAGGCCAGGCATAGCTTTGACTCAGACAAGGAAGTTTCCCATCTGAGCCTTACTCTGGTGACAGACAGGTGACCCCAGATCCCTCTGACACCCGACTCTCTGCTTCCCCAGAAAACCAAGACCCCAAGAAGACTTGGACCCCAAAGCCTCGCCGCTCCCTGGCCCTGAACAAACCTGAGAAGCTGGTAACCTCATCACCAGACCAGGAAGGAAGAGGCACAGGGGGGACCACCACCCCTCCAAGGTGCCCCGACTCCTGCGGTCACCCCAGACGTGCATCATCCTCGCCTCCAGGTGACAGAAAAGGAGGACAGTCCCAGCTGACGTTGCTGGATCTGGCCGAGGACACCATCCACTGTGACATCTCAAGTTGGTCTTTTTCCTCACTATGAACTTAGTCTTTCACTGAGATGCCACTTTGTGGGCACCTACTGCGTCCCAGACACAGTACCCATAGCGGGTGCTGCAGCAGTGGATAGGAAACACTGCCTCTCCCTTCTCAAGCCTGTGGCCTTGCTCTGGTGGTCTTCTTCATTGAAGGCTGCGTCATGGCTGTAAGGGTGGGACGAGACAGCGTCATCCTCCTGTGTGGGCTTTCCATCACAGAACCAGGAGGAGGGCAGGGCCCCTGCATCAGGCCTCATTTGGCTCTCCCATGCCCCAGTCACTGCCCTGGTTTGGAAAAGGTATGGTGATGTGTTCAGGCAGAGAGCTGGACCAGAGGGACGGAGGTCAGAGCTCAAGGCTTTGAGGCCTCCAGTCATCTCAATCTCATTCCTCTCTCTCTTCATTCAGCCCCTTTTTTTTTTTTTTTTTTTTTTGAGACTGACTCTGGCTCTCTTGCCTGGGCTGGAGTGCAGTGGTACAGTCTTGGCTCACTGCAACCTCTGCCTCCTGGATTCAAGCAATTCTCCTGCCTCAGCCTCCCAAGTAGCTGGGATAACAGGCGTGCACCACCACACCCGGCTAATATTTGTGCTTTTAGTAGAGACAGGGTTTCACCACGTTGGCCAGGCTGGTTTCAAACTCCTGACCTCGGGGGATCCACCCACTTTGGCCTCCCAAAGTGCTAGGATTACAGGCATGAGTCATCTCAACCAGCTTCACTCAGCCCTTTCTCCCCAGCCCGAGCACCTCCTCTGTGCCAGGCCCTGTGCCTGATGCTGGTGACACATCAGTGACCAAGTTCACAGCCCCATGAAGGAATAGCTTATGTTACCCAATACTGACAGCCCAGAGTGACCAAGACTTCCTGGGCTTACCCAGGAATCTGGGGGCCCCAGAAGGGGCATCTGACCCAGCCTAGGGAGCAGGGAGGGCTTCTCAGATCTTCCTGCTGGCTGTGTGACCTTTGGCAAGTTACTTGAGATCTCAGTGCCTCAGTTTACTTACCTGTAAAATGGGTATAATAATGGTGCCCTTAGGCAAAGGTGAACAGAATGGAAAAGGCTCCCAGCAGCGCTCACAGCTGTAAGCTCTGTATTCTTGTCAGCTAGCTTCATGGTCATTGTCAGGATTCCACTTAACGGGTATTCTTCATTACAGCTTCTTCTTTTTTTATTTTTTGAGACAGGGTCTCACTCTGTCACCCAGGCTGGAGTGCAATGGCGCCATCTCAGCTCACTGCAACCTCCGCCTCCTGAGTTCAAGTGATTCCCCTGCCTCAGCCTCCCAGGTAGCTGGGATTACAGGTGTGTGCCACCATGCCCAGCTAATTTTTGTATTTTTAGTAAAAATGGGGTTTCGCCATGTTGGCCAGGCTAGTCCTAAACTCCTGAACTCAGATGATCCGCCTACCTTGGCCTCCCAAAGTGCTGGGATTACAGGCACCCACCACCATGCCTGGCTAATTTTTATATTTTTAATAGAGACTGGGTTTTACCATGTTGGCCAGACTGGTCTCCAACTCCTGACTTCAAGTGATTTGCCCGCCTTAGCCTCCCAAAGTGCTAGGATTACAGGCATGAGCCACCTTGCCTGGCCCCATTACAGCTTCTGATAGGGATGCGGGATTCCAAAAACCTAGGGGTGATTTGGGGCACCCTTCAGCCTCACGACGGTGCCCTACATCCTGAGGTTTGGGCTAGGATTCGGGACTGGGTGTGTTAACAGAACTTGGCCCCCTTCCTCCCGTGTCTGGGCATCCTGGAATTTGGCCCAGTCCCCAGGCGTGGTGACCCTGATCTGCCCTCCTAGGCTGCTGGTGCCAGGACAGTGTCCAGGACGACACTTCCCCTGCGTTCCTGGCCCAGGAAGATGTGGAGAGTATCCATTTTCTCACCAAGACCCAGCCCCATCCCAGGTAAGGGAGTCCCCAGGGCACTGAGTGGGCAGTGCTGAGGGGTTTGATGTGGCGCAGGTGAGGGGTAGTGGGAAGAGAGGCCAATTCGTGCCCTCTGTGGGTACCCCTTGAGCACCAATAGCGGCCCAGCTTTGTGCCTGCCACTGTGAGCTTGCAGGAAAGCCCGATTTCCCATTTCCTGGACATGGTCACAGCTTTCTCACCCGTCCCCCTGCCTCCTCTGTTACCCCTCCGTCCCATCCTCATGTGACCACATGGCTTTTCCAACACAGAGACCTTGACCATGGAGGTCGTGGCATAAAGCCTTTCCTCAGTGTCTGTAGCATAGAATCCAATATCTTTTTTTTTTTTTTGGAGACAGGGTCTCATTCTGTTGCCCAGGCCAGAGAGCAGTGACATGATCATAGGTCACTGCAGCCTCAACCTTCAGGGCTCAAGCAATCCTCCCGCCTCAGCTTCCTGAGTAGCTGGGACCACAAGCGCACACCACCCAGCTAATTTTTTTATGTATATTTTTTGTAGAAATGAGGTCTCCCGGCAGGGCACAGTGGCTCACACCTGTAATCCCAGCACTTTGGGAGGCCAAAGCGGTCAGATCCCGAGGTCAGGAGATTGAGACGCTCCTGGCTAACACGGCAAAACCCTGTCTCTAGTAAAAATACAAAAAATTAGCCGGTGTGGTGGCATGCGCCTGTAGTCCCAGCTATTCAGGAGGCTGAACCGGAGAATCAATCACTTGAACCCAGGAGGCGGAGGCTGCAGTAAGCCGAGATCATGCCATTGTACTCCAGCCTGGGTTACAGAGTGAGACTCCGTTTCAAAAAAAAAGAAAGGAAAAAAAAAGAGGTCTCCCTATTTCCAGCCCAAGCTGGTCTTGAACTCCTGGACTCAAACAGTCCTCCCACCTCAGCCTCCCAAAGTGCCGGGATTACAGGCATGGGTCACTGCACCCGGCCCCGATACCTTACCCGGCATGTGAGACCTTCAGCAGCCCCCAACTCACCTCATCAGCCCTGCCCTTCGCCCATGACTCTTACACTTCACACCACACACGTTCGCCGTTCCCTAGGAGCCCTGCGCCAGCCCCTCTGGGCTTCTCACATTCCAGTACCTCTCCCTGGATGGCCTGCTTCCCTGTGCCCCCGGAAAAACACCCATCCCTAAAAAAAAATTTTTTTAAAGAAAAAAAAAAAAAAAAGTCCGGGTGTGGTGGCTCACGCCTGTAATCCAAGCACTTTGGAGGCCAAGGGGAGATCACCTGAGGTCGGGTGTTCAAGACCACCCTGACCAACATGGTAAAACCCCGTCTTTAAAAAAAAAAAAGAAAACCACCCATCCCTCAGGCTGAGCCCACTGCTCTCCACTGGCTCATCCTTCCCCAACGCCTCAGTCACAGCACTGCCCCCTAGTCTGCAGCGCCTGTTTACCAGCTGGGCTCTCCTCCAGAAACTGTAAGCTCCCTGAGGGTGGAGTCGCAGCTGACTGAGCTTTACTCCCCTAGCACTCCCCAAGGGGCCAGTGCAGAGCAACAAAGGGGCTCCATAGCAGTTTCCAGCCCAGGGCCTGTGTGGGCTGGAAACACAGGCCCTGGGCTGTGTTTCTGACTTGGGTTTCTAACTCAAACTCACCTCTCGTAGGCAGCCATTGGTGTTCTATGATTCCAGCCAGGATGTGGACAAAAGGTCCCTAGACGTTGACCCCTGGCTTCCTGCCTGGACCCCAGAGGACAGCCCTCAAGGTGACTGCAACTCTCTCGCTCCTCCTTGCAGGCTGGTTTGGGCCTTCCCACACTTCAGTCTGAGGATTTCTATGGAAGAGGGGAGGTGGGAAAGGGAACGGAGATCCCCTAGGCACAGGGAAGGCAAACACACAGTGTACCTGCCATCTCTTCACCACCGCTGCAATGGCAGACATTGCTAATCAATCACTACTCTTTCCTTGAGCCCAGGTACTGCCTCAGAATCATTCTGGGTCTTTTTGGTTTGTTTTTTTGAGACAGGGTCTCACTCTGCTGCCCAGCCTGGGATGCAGTGGCATGATCTCAGTTCACTTCAACCTCTGTCTCCTGGCTTCAAGGGATTTTCCTGCTTCAGCCTCCTGAATAGCTGGGATTACAGGTGCCCACCACCATGCCCAGCTAATTTTTGTATTTTTAATAGAAATGAGGTTTCACCATGTTGGCCAGGCTGGTCTCGAACTCCTGACCTTAGGTGACCTGCATGCCTCAGCCTCCCAAAAGTGCTGGGATTACATCATGAGCCACTGCCCCAGCCTCTTTCTGTGTTTGTTTTTGCTTTTGACACAAGTTCTCCCCGAGGCTGGAGTGCAGTGGCGCAATCACAGCTCACTGAGGCCTCCAATTCCTGGCCTCAAGGGATTGTCCTGCCTCAGCCTCTCAAAGTGCTGGGATTACAGGCACATGCCACTGCTCCAGACCTCAGAATCTTTTTTTATTCTTTTCTTTTTTTTTTTAGCTCTGACACAGGTCAGACTTTTTTTTTTTTTTTTTTTTTTGAGACGGAGTTTTACTCATGTTACCCAGGCTGGAGTGCAATGGCGTGATCTCGGCTCACCGCAACCTCCGCCTCCTGGGTTCAGGCAATTCTCCTGCCTCAGCCTCCTGAGTAGCTGGGATTACAGGCACGCGCCACCATGCCCAGCTAATGTTTTGTATTTTTAGTAGAGACGGGGTTTCACCATGTTGACCAGGATGGTCTCGATCTCTTGACCTCGTGATCCACCCGCCTTGGCCTCCCAAAGTGCTGGGATTACAGGCGTGAGCCACCGCACCCGGCCAGACTTTTTTTTTTTTGAGATGGAGTTTCACTCTCATCACCCAGGCCGGAATGCATTGGCGCTATGTCGGCTAACTGCAACCTCCACTTCTGGGTTCAAGCGATTCCGTGTCAGCCTCTGCACAGCTGGGATTACAGGCATGCACCAGCACGCTCAGCAAATTTTTGTATTTTTAGTACTGATGGGGTTTCACCATGTTGGCCAGGCTGGTCTCAAACTCCTGACCTCAGGTGAGCCACGTACCTCGGCCTCCCAAAGCACTGGGATTACAGGCTGGAGCCACCGCGCCTGAGCTCAGAATCTTATCGCAGAGTTGCAGGTAGTTATAATCAGCCTGTGGGATCTTGCACTTTACGATACTGATTTTTTTTTGTGGCCATCCCTGACATAATGCCAAACGTCATTTCTCTTCATGTCCTTTTTTTCCAATTTTGAGACAGAGTCTCACTCTGTCACGCAGGCTGGAGTGCAGTGGCACGATCTCGGCTCACTGCAACCTCTGCCTCACGGGTTCAAGTGATGCGACTGCCTCAGCCTTCTGAGAAGCTGAGATTACAGGCACGTGCCACCACGCCCAGCCAATTTTTGTATTTTTTCATAGACACAGGGTTTCACCATGTTAGCCAGACTGGTCTTGAACTCCTGACCTCAAGTGACCCACCCGCCTCGGCTTCCCAAAGTGCTGGGATGACAGGCGTGAGCCACCGCGCCCGGCTGCCTCTTCATTTCTCCGACCAAGAATTCAAACTGAGAAACTGACATTCGCTTTCCCCAGCATCAGGCACTGTGCCCCAGCGTCAGGCACTGTCTCCTCAATGCCAGTTGCTGTGCTAGGGCACAGGGTGATCTCTGGCCACAGCTCTGAGTCTGCTGTTTCCTTTCCAGGGAGCCCACTGTCCCTGGGGCCTCCCCAGATTGATGTCTGGAGCACAACAGGCCACCCAAGTGAGATCCTTGGGCTCAGCCCCAGCCTTTTCAGCTCCCCTGGGAAACTGCTTCCAGATGAGCTCTTGGAGGATGGCACAGAGTACCTGACCCAAGGTGAGGCCTCAGGGCTGGCCCTGAGGCTTAGTTCCTTTGGGAAACATACGGTGCCTAGGCCTGCGCTAGGCCATCCTGGGTGCCCAGGGTGGATCCTGGCTCTGCCTCAGGGAGCCCACAGCCTAGTGGGGGAGCAACCACAGGCTGTTGTGGTGAGTGGGTGGCTCTAGAAGCCCATAACAGCACTTGGGCTCACTCTGTGGGTGGGAGGTGACCCACGGGAGTGGGCTGTGAGCGGGATTTGGACACAGGGTGGGAGATCCTGAAGGAGAAAGCCAGAGACAGGGTTCCGGCTAGCAGGGACAGCGTGGCTGAAGCTTGGTGCTGTGGGAGAAGCATTTCGGCTCTGGCAGCCCCTCTGGTCTCCCTCCCTAGCAGCTCTCTTTAAAGAAGTGCGCTTTGATCTGGAGTCTTCACCTTCAGCCTACATACAGGAGGCTCCACAGGAGAAGGTAGAAATCCTCTGCCCCTCTGCCCAGAGACCCATCCATCCATCTTTCCACACACACCACTCACAGCTTCATTCACTCATGCACCCATCCCCCTTCCAGCTGCCATGCCCCCCGCCTGCCCACCCACTCACTCATGCTTCTCCTCATCCTTCAAAAAACACACCCACCCTGTGTGCGTGCCATTGGCCACCAGAGCCGGCTCTGTGCTTGGAGCAAACTGAACAAGGATAAAAGCTAAAAGCTGCCCCCCCATACAAAAACCCCACATTGTTTTATTTATTTATTTATTTTTTGAGACCGAGTTTCCCTCTTGTCACCCAAGCTCCAGTGCAGTGGCACAATCTTGGCTCACTGCAACCTCCACCTCCTGGGTTCAAGAGATTCTCCTGCCTCAGCCTCCCAAGTAGCTGAGATTACAGGTGCCCGCCACCACGCCCTGCCAATTTTTGGTATTTTTAGTGGAGATGGTGTTTTACCATGTTGGCCAGGCTGGTCTCAAACTCCTGACCTCAAGTGACCTGCCCACCTCAGCCTCCCAGAGTGCTGGGATTACAGGCATGAGCCACTGCACCCAGCCTCCCACACCATTTCACAACCACTGTATGAAGCAGGGTCTTCTGTGGCCCCATTTTACAGATGAGAAAACTGAAATCAAAAGAATAGTCTGGGTGCAGTGGCTCACGCCTGTAATCCCAACACTTTGGGAGGCTGAGGCGGGCGGATCACTTGAGGTCATGAGTTTGAAACTAGCCTGGCCAACATCAAGAAACCCCATCTCTACCAAAAATACAAAAATTGGTCAGGCGCAGTGGCTCATGCCTGTAATCCCAGCACTGGGAGGCCAAGGAGGGCGGATCACCTGAGGTCAGGACTTTGAGACCAGCCTGGCCACCATGGCGAAATCCTGTCCCTACTAAAAATACAAAAAATTAGCAGGGCGTGGTAGCACTTGCCTGTGATCCCAGCTACTCAGGAGGCTGAGGCAATAGAATCGCTCAAACCTGGGAGGCGGACGTTGCAGTGAGCCGAGATAGCGCAGTTGCACTCCACCCTGGGCAACGAGAGCAAAGGCCTGTCTCAAAAAAATAAAATAAAGAATACAAAAATTAGCCGGGCATGGTGGTGGGCGCCTGTAATCCCAGCTACTTGGGATAGAAGACAAGATAGCCTGAGGAGTAGCTTGAGACGGGAGAATTGCTTGAACCTGGGAGGCAGATGTTGCAGTGAGCCAAGATCCCACCACCACACTCCAGCCTGGGCGACAGAGCAAGACTCCGTCTTAAAAAAAGTGGGGGGCTGGGCGCAGTGGCTCATGCCTGTAATCCCAGCACTTTGGGAAGCCAGTGTGGGCGGATCACGAAGTTAGGAGTTCAAGACCAGCCTGACCAATATGGTGAAACTCCATCTGTACTAAAAATACAAAAGTTAGCCAGGAGTGGTGGTGCGAGCCTATAGTCCCAGCTACTTGGGAGGCTGAGGCAAGAAAATCACTTGAACCCAGGAAGTGGAGGTGCAATGAGCAGAGATCATGCCACTGCACTCCAACCAGAGCGACAGAGTGAGACTCCATATCAAAAAAAAAAAAAAAAAAAAGAGTGAGAATGATCCCTGATCCCCAGGAATGCTCAGAGACCAAAACCCAAGATTCCCCTCCTGGGCCCCTGGACCAACCTCTGTAGCCACCTTGCACTCCAGGAAGCCACCGTCCAATGGAGCAGCAGCCCCAGCCCTAGTCCATGATTCTTCTTCCAGTGTCCCCTCAGTGAGTAGATGAATTGGTGGCAGAAACAAAAACGGACACCAGTGGCGGAGTTCTTAGCCCCAGGCACTCAGTGGGATGCTCCTCAACCCCGTGAGGCATAGACTGTGACCACTATTTTGTAGATGAAATAGATGCTCAGAGATGTTAAGACTGGCTGGCTGTGGTGGCTCATGCCTGTAATCCCAGTACTTTGGGAGGCCGAGGCAGGAAGATCACGAGTTCAGGTGTTCAACACCAGCCTGACCAACATGGCAAAACCCCGTCTCTACTAAAAATATAAAAATTAGTCATGTGTGGTGGCACATTCCTGTAATCCCAGCTACTTGGGAGGCTGAGGCAGGAGAATCTCTTGAACCTGGGAGGTGGAGGTTACTGTGAACCGAGATCGCACCATTGCACTCCTGCCTGGGCAACAAGAGTGAAACTCCATCTCCAAAAAAATATATATATATATTACCCCAACATAAGAGGTCTGCGTTCTGGGGGGATAAAGGGGTACCACTGGTCTCCCGTCCCATCTTTCTCCCTCATCATGGCCCAGGACACACCCACCAAGGCCCCCGAAGACCCTTCGGAATCCTACAGCCTGCCCCGGTCCTCCGTCTCACTGGATCACTGCTACCTTTCACTGAATGAGAACGGCAAGGCGCCATCCAGCTCCACCTCCAGTCCCAGCTCCAGCTCCAGCTCAGACGACAGCGACTCGGAGCCCCTGTGGAGGAAACCAGAGGTGAGAGACGTGGCCACGTGCCAGGGCCGGCGGGCCTCTTTCCTCCCTCACTGTCCTCTTCCTCCCCCAGGATGGGTTCTCAGGCCCTGTCTCCCACCCGAGCGACCCTGGGGGAGGAGAGGTCCCTAAGGTTTTAAGCAAAGTCCTTGGGGCTGACTTTGCTAGATCAGGTGCTAGCAAGACGTGTACCTCTCATTGTTCTCGCTCAGCGCGCGGTAGCAGTGGTCCAGCGAGACGGAGGACCGGGGCAGGCTGTGGGACTCAGGAGGGTCTTTGGGGGCTTTGGAGGGTGTGTCTTGGGCCACAGTGAGGGAGAAAGATGGAGGGGGAGACCAGTGGTGCCCCTTCATCTCCCCAATACTCAGGCCAACCCGGAGGGTGCGCCGGGCTCCAGTGAAGGCGACGAAGACACCACGTGGACCCCTAACCAGCAGGCCTCACCCCTGCCAGCAGTTGGGAGAAAGGCCAAGAAGGGCCAAGCAGTCAGGGCCCCTGGGAAGCCCAAGGAGAACAAGAAAGGCCCCTGCCCACCCCAGATGAAGAAGAAGTGTGTCAATGGCTTCATCATGTTCTGCAGGATGAACCGGAAGCAGTACATCCGGTGGGTAGGGGCGTCTTTGGCCCTGGGGAAGGCCCTGCCTTTGCTCTCTGCCCGCAGCCTGGCCATGCCGCTCCCCACTGTCTGACACTGTCTGACACTCTTTTCCCCTCCCAGACCCCACTGACCCTTCCAGGACCTCAGTTCTCCCCCAGAACTGAACCCGGCCCCATCATACTGGACAGGGCCCATTCATTGCCAGCGCCGAAACCCAACTCAGACTTCAGACTTCAGAAGGAAAGGAAACAAAAAAAAATTTTTTTTTTGAGTTGGAGTCTTACCTTGTCACCCAGGCTGGAGTGCAGGGGCGTGATCAAGGCTCACTGCAACCTCTGCCTCCCAGATTCTCCTGCCTCAGCCTCCTGAGCAGCTGGGATTACAGGCGCACACCACCACTCCCGGCTAATTTTTGTATTTTTAGTAGAGACAGGGTTTCACCATGTTGGCCGGGCTGATCTTGAACGCCTCACCTCCAGTGATCTGCCCACCTTAGCCTCCCAGATTGCTGGGGATTACAGGTGTGAGCCACCAGGCCCAGCAAGGAAAGGAATGAATTAGCTTATATAACCTAGAAAACACGGGCGGGTGTAGACTGCCTTGAGATGTAGATGGTTTTACAGCTCACACAAGGCTGTCTGGAATCTTCGTCCTTTTCGCTCAGTTCTGCTCTCTTCTGGGCTGGCTTCATTCTCTGGCAGGCGGAGTCACCGCAGGAGGCGCAGACTTGGGTCCTGTCTCCCACCCGAGCGACCCTGGGGGAGGAGAGGTCTCCATTGTTTTTAGCAAAATCCTTGAGGCCGACTTTGGTAGATTGGGTGCCCACCCGTAACCAGTCATTGCCAGGCCTGGAGCCAGGGGATGGGGGTCCCCCAAGCCACAGTGGAGAAGAGCTGGTTTCTTTACAGGAAGATCCGGGTGTGAGTGTCAGGAGCAGTGGCCACAGGTCCCCTGCACTCTCTGGGGACACCAGGTGCCTAGCTGTGAACAGCCACTGAGTCTAGCTGCCTCTGCCTCCTCAGCTCTAGAGGGTGGTCTTGGAGGCCTCATAGGCCCACAGGGCTAGGAAGAGTCCGAGTTCTCAGTCAGCATACCCCACGGGCCTCTCCTTACCTTCTCCTTCTCCCTGTCCCAGATTCTGTCCTGGGACCGCTTCCACGGCTGCTACCAAGGAGCTGGCCCAACTGTGGCGGGTGATGACCCAGCAGGAACGAAGGCCATACTGGTGAGAGGCCCTGGCCCGAGGTGTGGGGGTGTGGGGGTAGAAGGGCCTCCCTGCTCTGGAACCCTGCTCTGTCTCCAGAGCCTTGGGTGTCATGGCATGGGAGACTGAGCCGAGGAATCTGCGTGTTACCTGTTCTTATGAAACCCTTGGGGGTGACAGAGGTGGAGGGGTGCCCCACCACTGCTAGGTTGGGGAGCAGCTGAACGTGGACATGGACCCCCTGCCTCAATCCCTTTGCAATCTCTACCACACGAGGTCTGATTTTCCTGTCACTTGGCCGCCTTGCCTCCCCCAAACCCTGGCCTGTCCACCTTCAAGGAGCTGCCACCTGCCCACTTCCAAACTGGTCCCTGAAAAATTGAGCAAAACTTTGAACACATCCCAGAGCCCTTGGCCAAGTCCCGTCTTACAGACCAGGACTTGGTGGCACCAAGGTTTGCCCAGAAGAGGATAAAACGGTGGCCCGGGCCGCTACGGGGGCCACGGGGTTGGGGTGGGGGTGTGACAGGGACCCCTGGAGGCGAGTGAGGAAGCCGGGCCGTCCCGCCACGTCTCCCCAGCACCAAAGCTCGCAGGTTCAGCCGTCAGCACAACCGCATCGTGAAGCAGGACGGCTCCAGCAGCGAGGACGAGGACTGGGAGACGCCCAAGCCCTTCTACCAGCTGCTGGCTGAGAAGGCCTTGCCACTGCCCCCGCACCTCCAGTGAGAGGGCAGCCCCCTCGCCTGCTCCCCTCACCCCTCACCCCTCAAGGCAACTGTGGCTCTTGCTGGAAGCCAGGACCCATCAATGAACTTGTCCCTCCTGGGCCTCCAGCTTCTGAGAATGCAGGTCCCCTTAGCCAGGTCCCATGGGGCCAGGGAGGGGAGCACTGATTGGCCCCCACTGCTGGGCACATTTGCCTGGAGCACCAGAGTCGCCCACAGCTGCCCTGATTCTCCCCCGGGCTTATCAGGAAGAGAACCCAAAATGAAATTCGGGGTGTTGGAGGGTGAAGTTTACCAGCCCCCTGCTTTTTCCTTCCCCACCCCACAGCCACACGGTTGCAGCCCTGTTCAAGCTCACCTCACCCTACTCCTCCCTCTCCTGTTTTATTTTTAGGCTATTTATTGTTTTAAAGAAAATAAAGTGGGACCTTTGTTACCAGCAAGAGACAGGGGCAGGCCCTCCCAAGTCCCCCTGCTGCCCTCATCTGGAGGCCTGCGGCTGGCAAGAGGCCTCACTGCCCGCCCTCCGCAGCCGCCCTGTGCATCTGAACGCAAAGCCCTGTCCCCCGGGAGGCAGCAGTGGGAAAGTTGGGTCTCCACTAGGGCTGTGTTCAGTGCTGCTTTGGGCAGGCCCTGGAAGGCACCCCATAGCCCTGGTGGTGGTGTAGTCCACTAATTTTATTTTAATTGAAAATGGAGGCATAACATGTCCTAGAAAAATAAAGATTTAGGATACAAAGGGGACACAGCGGGCAGGGCTGCCCCTGGGGATGAGGGAATCTTTGGTCTGGGCCAGATGTGACGACAAGGGCTTGAGTCCAGGGGAGCTGGTCAGGGAAGATCCCCGGCGCCCCACAGCTGCCCCCGCCCTGGCAGGAAATGCCATGCTTGGGAGGGTCTCCAGTCTCTGGGGCGGGGGCTGCCTGTCCTCTACCTTCGGATTCCAGGCAGTTGTGACAACACCAGCTATCTATCAGCAGAGCTATTAATAGCGTTTCAGGGAGTGACAGGGAGAAGGCTCTGAAGGCTGGAGGTCTGGCCCGGGGGCAGGGTGTTCTGCTCACAGATAGTACCAGGTGGAAGGGGCAGGGCCCCTGAGTCAAGACCCCCAAGTCCTCCGTGTATATGGCAGGGCACAGCATGGGGAGGGCTGTAACAGAGAGGCCTCCCATCCAGAGGGGAAGGAGCCCTGGGCAGGAGGTGGCCTGGGACGCATCTCCCAGCATCACCAGGGCTGGGAGAGGCCACCCAGGTAGGATGTGGTGGCTGGGGTCTTCAGCAATCGCGTTTCTGGGGCTCCCTCCTCCAGCTCCTGTCCCTAAATCTTCAGCACCATTGTTGTGCGAGGCCACGGGGCCACGCTGGGTCACAGTTCCAAGGGCTCCTCCACAGGCACTGACTGGAGCTGCGTCAGGACCTTGGCCTCAGCTTCCAGCCCCTCATCAACCTCGCCCCCTGCGGTGGCCCCCAGGAGCAGCCCCTCAGGGTCAGGGTCTGGCAGCCTCAGCACGGTGTGGGGGGCCTGTGTCCCCAGCCCCTTTTCTGTTTCCAGCAGCCCCTCTGTTCCTGCACTTAGTTCCAGCGCTGCTGGCCAGACCGGCACAGCCGCAGGTGACAGCATCAGCCCCTCTGGTGGGGCCGCTGAGAAGCTGGGCAGGAGGCTGGGGGAGTCAGGGGAGAAGGGCAGGCTGGCGCCAGAGGTGGTGGCGGTGGGAGGTGGCTGCTGCGTGGAGAGGGTGCCTAGGGCATGGGCCTCTGAGAGAGCAGGGCTGGGGGCCACCGGGAGGCCTCCCTCAGGGACAGAGATGGCTGTCTCTGGCTTCAGGGGCAGGGCCAGGCCGGGGCCTGGCGGCAGGACCTGGGAGACGAGCATGCTGGTGGGGAAGGTGGCGGTGAGGATGATCTTGCCCTGCTGCACAGCCACACCCGTCACGATGGGGCTCCCAGACACAGGATTGGCCAGGAGGAAGTTTCCTGTGGGGAGAGGGGCCCAGCGTAGGTGAGAGCCCCGGGAGAGCCGGCCAAGCCAGGTGGAGGTGGAGACTGCAGCAGGAGGGCGGGCAGAGGGAGCCTTCCGGTGGGGCACTGGGACTTGCCAGGGATAAGATGCCCCCCAGGAGCCCACGGACAGCCCCTCCCTCTCTGATGACTGCACCCCCCTCCCCTGGCTCTTACCCAGGCCTGAGGGAAGAAAATGGGGGTACCTGGGGCAGTGGCCGAAGGCAGCTGCAGGGCAGTCACGCCCACCCCAGAGTTGATCAGGTGCACGTTGGCAGGGCCTGCTGCGGCTGCCACCTTCACAGGGCTGCCTGGCCCGGCTGCCAACAGCTGCAATGGCCCCACAGCTTGGGGCAGGGTCACCACCTGCGAGGTGGGCACCACCTGGGGCAGGTTCAACAGTGGGGAAGTGGGGCTCAGGCCCGTAGGGTACCCTGGGGGTGGGGAGAGCGGCACCACTTGTGGGGCAGCCACAGCAGGCACTGGCCCCGGGGGCAGAGGAAAGGTGGCAGCTGGCAGGGGGCCAGGCACCACTTGGGGCAGGGGCCCGGGGACCTCCTCTCCAGGGGCTGGTCCTGAAGCAGCCACCTGGGCCCCTTTGGTCTCAGGGGCCTCTGGCTGAGCCTCCTCCAGCCGCACCTCCCCTGTCTGAGGGTCCAGGACCAGGGAGGTCTTGGCCTCGCTGGCCCCCTGAGGGCTGGGCTGCGGTGGAGGGGCACCCCCGCCCCCGGTGAGCAGCAGTGGGCCCAGGCTGGAGGCCTCGCCCAGGGCCAGGCCATTGATGATGACAGGACCCCCGTTGAGGAGTACTGCTGGGGAGCTACTGGCAGCCAGGAAGCTCCCATTCACCAGGATGGAGGAGGAGGCAGGGCACGGCGCAGGAGGGCTGGCCCCCGCCAGGAATATGGAGCTCTGGGCTGCGGCCTCGGCAGACACTGGGGCTGCCCCTCTCTCCAGGTCCTCAGGACTTCGGCTGGACTCATCCTCAGTCGTGGGATTCCCATCAGACTCACTGGCCAAAAAAATGGCTGTTAGCTGGGGTCCCTTAGCGTGTGGGGCCTCCGGCAGAGCCAGCTGGCTGCTCTCCCACTTTTCCCAGGCCCAAGCTTCAGTGGATCATTCCAGGAGTTATGAAGCCCCTCTGAGACTACCCAAAACCCGAGGGCCTTTTGCAAGCCAGGCGTGGACACCACTGCAGAGAAGCGCTGGGGAGGGAAGAGGCCCTTGCTCTCCCCATGCCTCGGCCTTGCGTCCCCAGGCTGAGCTCCCAGGTTGCCCTAAAAGTTCCTTGGTTGGGTGGAAAGCAGGCGAGTGGCCTGGAGAGAGGGAGCAGGCGCCGCCAGCCCAGTTCTTGGTGCCCTCCCCGCAGGGCGTCAGAGAAGGGAGAGGCCAGCGCTCAGGGTGGGAGGGGAAGGGCTTGGGTTACAGGGAAACCAGAGCTGAGGAAGGTTCACGTTTCACAACAAAGGCAGACTACGGACCACGCTGTCCAGGCCCGGAGGGGGTGTGGGGGCGGGTGGGGAAGAGTAACGGCAGGGAAGAAAGGGGGCTGGAAAGCAACCCCTACGCGGGGTGGGGTGGGCACAGGCCCCTGCCCTCTTTCCGAAGCCCCTCTAGTGCACCCCGCAGTATGGTTCCCAACACCGATGGGATTTGGGCAGGAGCTCAGAATGGAGCCGCGGTTAGAGGAGACGCGTGCTGGGCAGTGATGCTGCGGAGAAGGCCCAGGCGAGTGCCTGTGCCGTCCACGCTTAGTCCCCGCGCCCCGCGGGCGCCCGGGGCTTGAGCGGGAGGAGTCCGAGGACCTCGGCGAGCTGGTCCCAGCAGTGGGCACGGGGAATGAGGACTGGTGGGCGGGATGTCCCCGGGAAAGCGGGACTTGCGCCTCCCAAGGACCCTCACCTCTTGCAGGGCGCGCCGCCGCTGGCCCCGGTCCGATCGCGCTGTCGCCGGTTCTTGAACCAGTTGCTGACCTGCGTGAGCGAGAGGCCGGTGAGCGTGGCCAGGCGGCGCTTCTCGTCCGGCGTCGGGTAGCGGTTGCCGCGGTAGCAGGCCTTGAGCGCGGCACGGGAGCGCTCCTTGAAGCAGTAGACTGTCTCCTCGCCGTCCCAGATGGTCTTAGGCAGCGGGAACTTCTTGCGCAGTCGATACTTGTCCACTGCGCCCAGCGCGCGGCCGCGGGCCCGCTCGGCCTCGTGGTAGCGCGCGCGCAGGTAGAGGTCCTGCAGGAAGGCGTGGTGGGCGGCGGGGAAGGGGCGGCTCTCGAGTAGCCGGTAGAGCTCAGCGTACTCGCCCCGCTGGAAGGCCACCAGGGCCCGCGCGCGCAGCACCGGGTCGCTGCCACGTAGGCGCTCGGCCGGGGGCAGTGCGCCCAGGAAGCGGCTCAAGCGGCCGGCGTGGCCCGCCTGGAGCAGCGCCTCGCAGACGCACGCCACCTGCTCGGGTGAGAAGCGGAGGCCCGTGGGCGGTTCGGCAGCGGCCTCGGGGGGCGAACCGGGGACGCCCGGGGATCCCGGGCCCTCCGCTCCCGCCGCCGCTTCACCCGCCCCGGCCCCGGCCGCTGCCGCCGCCTCACCCTCGGCCGCCTGCAAAGTTTGCAGGAGCTGGCGCGCTTCCTCCTCCTCCTCTTCGGTCGCCGTGGCCGCCACTGCCTCCCCCCCCGGCCGCCGGCCCCACGCTCGGCTCCGCAGGCAAGGTAGCCATGTTTTGCAACTTTGGGAAGTTCCTCCCTCCTTCTCTTCCTCCCTTGGGCTTTCCCCAGCCCCCTCCCCCACCTGTCCCCCCTTTTCGCCCCACTCCCCACGCTTCTCGATCTCCCCAGGCCAACCCTGCGCCCCACACCGGGAAGGCGAGACCCAGCTCTCCACCCAGTCTCTGTCCCTGTGTGTGTGTTCGTCCCTCTCCCTGTCTGTCCGTGATTCTCCCTTTGTTTTCCCTCCGCCTCTGGCCGCGCTTTCTGCCTCCCCCCGCGTGTGCTTCTGGCTCAGGGCCTCAGTTTCCACATCGGGACAACGCAGAAGGTAACGGGCCGTCCAGGAGGGCTAAGGGCGCGAAGCCTCCGCTCCGAGACTGCGCTTCTGCACGCCTCTGTCTCCAGGGTCCCCTGCAGGCCCCCACATTCCCCATCTCGGCCTGCGCTCCGCCCCTCGGAATTCCCGGCTCCGCAGGGGGGGCGGGTCTGGCCGGGAGGAGGGGCGGGGAACAGGCCAGAAAGTTTGCAGCAACTTTTCTCGAGCTTGCGTCCCCAGAGCGGATGCGCGTGGCGTACGCAGGCGCAGTGGAAGGAGGATGGCCGCGCGCGCGCGCGCTACCAGCCCAGCCCCCTTCTTCTCGACGCCTGGTGCCACAGCTGGGCCACAGCTGGGCGTGGGCGGTGCCTCCGGGTGGCCCGCTCTCCCTCTTATTGGCTGGACGCCAAAGCCCCGCCCCGTGGCTTTTCCTCCCCTGCGGTCTGATTCGTCCGCTTCGCGTCCCGCTAGCTCCTCTCAAACCTTCGGCGGCGTCCACTCGCCTTCGGATTGGCCCGCTGCGCAGCCTCCTGCCTACAACGCAAACCGTGAACACTGCGGAGTCCAGGGCTTTGGGCAGATAGAGGACCTTTTATTCGCGAGGGTCGGGAGTGGGGTCCTAGGTGGGGAGAGACAATAAATACCGAGGAATGTCGGGGTCTCTGTGCATCCAAAACGTGGATCGGGGTGTTGGGGGTCCTGCAGCCTGTCAGCGAGTCGGAGGACGAGGGCAATAAATATCCAAACTGCCAAGGCAGGTGGAGCCGGTTGGGGCTCCGAGACAAGCGCACGTGAGGAGGGGGGCGCGGGATCCCCCGAAAAAGCGGGGTTGGCAAAAGCAAATATCCCGAGTAAGCGGGCAGAGGTCGCGCCGGACGCTCCCTGGAGAGCAGGGCATCATGCCCAAGGGGGATTTGCGGTTTGCTAACCGACGTTGGGTGGGGGTGCGTGGAGGGTGGAACACAGCCCGGCTTGCAGCCTTTTCAGGCTCGCAGTTGCTCATCCACGTTGGGGCCTCAGCCTAGCCAAAAAAACGAAGCGGTCTGCGATTCCCCCAGCAGCAGTAGCAGCAGCATTCCCGGCTACAAGGGCCCCTCGAGCCCTGTTCGCCGGCCACGGAACCGGCTCCTCCCTCCCCGGCCACCAGGGGGCGGGCCCGGATCACAGGACTGGAACTGGGCGGAGACCCACGCTCAGAGCGGTGTGAACTGGCAGGCGGTGGGCGCGGCTTCTGTGCCGTGCCCGGGGCGCTCAGTCTTCCAACGAGGCCCCCGAGTCGAAGAGAGTTCTAGGGTTCAGGGGGTGAAGGCGGCTCCAGGGCGGCGACAGATTGGGGTGAGTTGGCCGGCGTGGGCCACCAACCCAGCGCAGCCCAGGGCGGCGGCACGAGCCAGAGCAGCGGCGAACAGGAGCAGGGAAAGCGCCTCCGATAGGCCAGGCCTAGGGACCTGCGGGGGAGAGGGCGAGGTCGGCACCCGGCACGTCCCTCTGATTGGCTCCTGGAACTCGCCCCGCCTACGCCCATAGGTGGGCCCGAACTCCTCCCTGCGCCTCGCCCTCCCCACAACAGCCTGCAGTTGCTGTTAGTCCACTCGCAAGCCTCGAATCCCGTCCGAACTCGTCATTGGCTGCTTCCTAGCGGCCTGTGTTGATTCGCTGCCCGATGATCCTCCCTCCCACGGTGGGACCAGCCCCGCAAATGCGCAGCTAAGCGGGTGGCACTGGGCTGGTGGAGCTAGGGGCGCGGCGGCGGAGGGGGGCGTGGGCAGCCGGACGTACCCTGGCAGGGAGCAGCAGGTGGCGGCGGTGCATGGGGCCTGGCCCCACCAGCGGGCACTGGCCCAGAGCCACGGCCGGGGGGCCATCTAGCTGGAGAGAGAAGGGACAGGTGACCCGATCGGAGCCCAGCCCAGCCCTCGGCGGTGGGGCGAGAGACAGCGAGGGGAGTCGAGGCCGGGGAGGTTATCTAGGGAGATCCCAAGGGGATCTGGTGAGACCTGAACCGAGGGAGATCTGGGACTGAATGAAGGGCTTCTGCCCTCTGAAGTCTCAAAGAGGTAGGGTGAGCCCTAGATCTGGACGGGGAGACCAGGAGCCAGGGAGGGAGTCTGCAGAGTGGGCAGCAGGTCTGAGGCAGGGAAAAGAGAGGGGTCTTACATGGGAAGGTGGATCCGTGGCCCGGGGACTGGGGACCCCAGTGACAGCTGGAAGGAGAAGAAAGAGGCATAGGGCGCGTGGAGGGGCGAAAGAGGGCGGTGGCGCGGCGTGCCCCAGCATGGGTCCCTCTCCTCCCCCAGGTGTCCATACACGTCCCAAGAAGCAGACGGCCCACCTCCTCCCCGCCCTCGGGAAGGGGATGCTTGAGGGACTTGCCTGTGGCTCCCTCTGCCTGTAGCAACTCCATGCGCTCTTGCAGCTGCCGGACGTGCGCCTCCAGGTCCCGGTTCCGAGCCTCGGCCGTGCGTAGTTGACTGTGGGGAAGTAAGGATGGTGAGTCCGTCTGGGCTGGACGAGAGGGGCTGCCACGGGTTGCCACAGGTCCCAAGCCCCGACCCCAACCCCGACCTGGCGAAGTTCTGGTTGGCCGTGCGGATGGCCTCCATCTCCCGGCTCAGGCTCTGCCGGGTGAGCACCTCCTCCTCCAGGGCCTCCTGGAGCTCCCGCAGCGTCACCTCGGCCTCAGCCTCCACCACAGGGATAGCAGCTGGAACTGCCACTTCGGCCTGTGTATGGGAACCAGGCTTAAGGCTGCCTGTAGCTCCTGGAAGACTCAGGACTTGGGCACTGGTTGCAGGCCTGGGATTCTCGCTTGTCCCCTACTCCTCCACCCCCTCGGGATTTCTGGAATCGCCATCGCTCCTGCAATGCTCCAAGCCCCCTCCTTTCCCTACTCCCCTCAGCCCCATCTCTGAGTCTGGTCCCCTCAATCCACGCAGCGACTAGAGGGCTAGTCCTAAAACACTAGCACAACTTGACCCTGACCCTCTGCTTCTCAAAATCCCTCCAGCTCTCTAATGCCCTCAGGACAAAAGGTCTTGCCGGGTTGTTTTCTGCTGGCCTCGTCAGCCATCTCAGGAACGATTCAGCCAAACTATCTGACTTTCAAGAACAAACCAGGATTCCCACCTGCCCAAGGCCTTTGCCCTTAAGGTCTCGCCTGACCACCTGGTACTTTTCTTTTCTTCACCAGCGCTCAGTTCAAAGACAAGCTTCTCAGATCCGCCGCAACACACACCCTTAAACGCCCTGCTGTAACTCCTTCACAGGGACCTGAAGTAGCCTCGTCTCTCTGTGGTTTCTGTCTTCTCCTGTTCAGTAAGCTCCCAGAGGGCCCCACAGTGCACCCCACCCAGGAAGCCCTCGCCTTTTCCCTCCTGTTTGTCCCTGATGGACTCTCCCCTCTACCAACTTACTGTTTCATCTGGTGGGGACACCGAGGGCTCCAGGCTGGGCGCTTGTATGTGTGGCTCAAGCAGCTGCTCGGCCTCCAGTTCCATGGGTATGGGGCCTGGGACCTCATTGTCCCTGGGGAGAGGAGGAGGGAGTAGGGAGGAAGACAGAATGCTGATTCTTGAATGGAGAACCAGGAACTCCTGGCCTGTGGGTAAGGGGCAGCGGCTTCAAAGACCCCCTGATCTGAGGAAGGGGAGTGGCAGAGTGAAGAGTCCCAGGTGGGCTGACAGCCCTTCCCCTGCTTACAAAAAGCCCTGCCCCTCCCCTGGCGTTCGCCCCTGGGAGCTGCTCTTTCTAAACCTTCTGCAGGGACTCAGGGTCCAGACCCCCATGTTCTAGGGTCAGTTGGTCTCCTCCTTTGACATGTGACCTCTGCAGACCTGATGAGGGAGACTGCTTGGCTCTGGCCACCTCCATGTGGTCCTAAGACTGGGAATGGGACTCCAAGATGGCGACTCCAGGTCAGCACATCCCGCTCAGCTGTGGGAAGGGGATAGCCCCTCCCTGGGGTAAGAAGTGGCTGTCCCCTACAACCCAGCACTCTCTCCTGTGGGAACATGGCTCAGGACCTAGCTATCCTGGACATGCACCTGGGTCTAACAGAAGATGGGTTCAATTCTGACCCACCTGTTCAGGCCCCACAGTGGTTCAGAATCGAGTTGGAGTTCATTAACGATAAGAAATGGCATTTGTAATGTTTTCCAGTAATAAAAGCTGATTAGAAAACCACCTGTTTTCTTAGACAAGGTAGCACGGAGAGAAAAAAAACCCCACCTGTTCTATGGTAGTTAAACGTGTCTGTGCACCTGTGAGCCAGGGACCACTGCGTCTGGTGAGCTCACAAGATACTGACTTCCTTGTCCTTATCTGTATTTTCTGATTGTGATCAGCAGTACATGATATGTATGGCCTCACACCAGCCCCAGCTGGAATCTATCATGGCTCACTGAAGCCCTAAACTCCAGGCTCAGGTGATCCTACTTCAGCCTCTTGAGTAGCTAGGACTGCAGGGACAGATCACCATGCCTGGCTGAATTTCTTCAATTTTCTGTAGCGATGGGGTCTCACTGTGTTGCCCAGGCTGGTCCTGAGGTCCTGGGCTCAAGTGATCAATCTGCATCAGCCTCCCAAAGTGCTGGGATTTCAAGCTTGAGCCACCGTGTGCAGCCTGTAAATTTATATGTGTATGTGTTTGAGTCGAAGTTTCACTCTTGTTCCCCAGGCTGGAGTGCAATGACGCGATCTCGGCTCACTGAAACTTCCGCCTCCCGGGTTCAAGTGATTCTCCTGCCTCAGCCTCCCAAGTAGCTGGGATTACAAGCATGCGCCACCATGCCCAGCTAATTTTGTATTTTTAGTAGAGATGGGGTTTCTCCATGTTGGTCAGGCTGGTCTCAAACTCCCAACCTCAGGCCATCTGCCCACCTCGGCCTCCCAAAGTGCTGGGATTATAGGCGTGAGCCACCGTGCCTGGCCAGCTCTGAGGTTTTAGAAATGAATCTAACATTCTGAAGTACATATATCTGAGTTTTTAAGGTCCTCCAACTCTGGCTTCTTAGGAGTCCATGTTCCCAAAACAATAAGGTTCCAAGACTGATCCTGCAACTGCTGGCCGCCGAGGAGCAGGCCCCAGGAAGCCCAGGCAGCCTCGGGGCCTCTGGAGACCACCCAGGGCGGTGCTTACCTGAGGGCCATGCAGGAGTAGGAGTAGCCCACAAAAGGCAGGTGGACCCCCAGCGGCGCACCTTCCTGAATGTCCGACAGTGTCTCCTGCAGAAGACACACAGATGTTATCCGCAGTCCTCAGAGTGGGCCCCTCACTGCTTTTTGATCATGGCTTATGTGGTCCCCCTAAGCCAGCCCCAACTCAGGGCTTATCTAAAGTGACCCCTCCATCATTTTTTCTTTTTTTGTGACTCGGAGTCTCGCTCTGTCACCCGGTCTGGAGTCCAGTGACACGATCTCGGCTCACTGCAACCTCTGCCTCCTGGGTTCAAGTGATTCTTCTGCCTCAGCCTCCTGAGTAGCTGGGATTACAGGCATCCGCCGACACACCCTGCTAATTTTTAATATTTTTGGTAGAGATGGGGTTTCACCATGTTGGCCAGGCTGGTCTCAAACTCCTGACCTCACGTGATCCACCTGCCTGGACCTTCCAAAGTCCTGCGGTTACAGGCCTGAGCCACTGCACCTGGCCATATTTTCTTTTTCTTTTTTTTTTTTTGTTTTAAGATGGGGTTTCACCATGTTGGTCAGTCTGGTCTTGAACTCCCGGCCTCAAGTAATCCACCCGTCTTGGCCTCCAAAATGCTTGGATTACAGGCGGGAGTCACTGCGCCCGGCCTTCTTTTTTTTTTTTTTTTTTTTTTTTGAGACGGAGTTTCTCACTCATGTTACCCAGGCTGGAGTGCAATGGCACGATCTCGGCTCACCGCAACCTCCGCCTCCCAGGTTCAGGCAATTCTCCTGCCTCAGCCTCCTGAGTAGCTGGGATTACAGGCACGCACCACCATGCCCAGCTAATTTTTTGTATTTTTAGTAGAGACGGGGTTTCACCATGTTGACCAGGATGGTCTTGATCTCTTGACCTCGTGATCCACCCGCCTCGGCCTCCCAAAGTGCTGGGATTACAGGCTTGAGCCACCGTGCCCGGCCTTTTTTTTTTTTTTTAAATATAGACACAGGTCGATCTACGTTGCCTAGGGGTCTCCCTATGCTGCCCAGGTTGGTCTGGCTACAAACTCTGGGCTTAAGCAGTCCTCCCATCTCAGTTTCCCAAAGTACTGGGATTACAGGTATGAGCCACTGTGCCCAGCTCACTTTTTTTTTTTTTTTAGATGGAATCTCGCTGTCTCCCAGCCTAGAGTACAGTGGCACAATCCCATCCCACTGCAACCTCCACCTCCCAGGTAGAAGCGATTCTCCTGCCTCAGCCTCCTGAGTAGCTGGGATTACAGGCACGAGCCACCACGCCTTAATTTTGTATTTTTTATTTTTAAATTATTTATTATTATTATTTTTTGAGATGGAGTCTCACAGGCTGGAGTGCAGTGGCGCGATCCCAGCTCACTGCAACCTCTGCCTCCTGGGTTCAAGCGATTCTCCTGCCTTAGCCTTCTGAGTAGCTGGGATTACAGGCTCCTGCCACCATGTCTGGCTAATTTTTTTTTATTTTTAGTAGAGACAGGGTTTCACCATGTTAGCCAGGATGGTTTCAATCTCCTGACCTCGTGATCCACCTGCCTTGGCCTCCCAAAAGGCTGGGATTATAGGCATGAGCCACCTCACCTGGTAAAGTTTTGTATTTTTAGTAGACACAGGGTTTTACCATGTTGGCCAGGCTGGTCTCGAACACCTGACCTCCAGTGATCCGCCCACCTCAGCCTCCCAAAGTTCTGAGATTACAGGTGTGAGACACCTTGCCCAGCCTACTTTTTAATTTCAATGTAATTTTATCTTACCCTGCACTCCAGCCTGGGCAATTTCAATGTAATTTTATCTTACAGTCTCTCTCTCTTGCCCAGGCTGCAGTGCAATGGCATAATCCCAGCTCACACAGCTTTTTTTTTTTTTTTTTAATATAGACACGTAGCTGTTAGCCTCCCAAGTAGCTGAGTATTCAGACATGTGCTACCACACCCAACCAAATTTTTATACATTTTTGTAGAGACGGGGTCTCACCACAGTGCTCAGGCTGGTCTCGAACTCCTAGACTCAAGCAATCCACCCGATTCGGCTTCCCAAAGTGCTGGGGTTACAGGCGTGAGCCACTGTGCCTGGCCCCATCATTTTTTCTTGTATCCTGTTGCTTCCCTTCAGAGCACCTGCCACACTCTCCATAATTCTCTAATTCTCTAGACTGCAAGTGGATGAGGGCAGGGACCAGAGCTGATCTGGTCAGTGCTGCATCCCCAGAGTTGTCCGGAAAAGGGCACCCATAGCCAAGCAAGCATTCCACGACAGCTTGTTGCATGGTGGAGAGAGGAGTCCTCTCCTGCTTCTCATCCCTCCAAGTCTCAGCTCAGATAGCTTCCCTCTCCTGGAAGCCCTCCAGGACCTTCTTTGCTGAGTCAGGAGCCCCCCACCACCTGCACTCCGTTGTCTCAGCCCTGATCACTCTAAGGCCTCACTGTCTAAGGCTGGTCTGTGTTCCCCCACTGGCTAGGTCACTGCTGGGTCCTCAGCACTAGGTGGGCACAGAGCACGTGCTCTGGGGAAGAGAGTGATTCAGGACCCCAGGAGGTAGGCACTGTCCTTACTCCAACTTTATAGAGAGGGGATGGGGAGGTTCCCGCAGCCAAGCAGGGGCCGCAGGTACCTACCCCGCCCCCGCTCACCATGGCAGTGAGCCCGTCCTCCACCAAGTCGAAGTTGCATGTGTCGGTGGCACCTTCGAAATCCGGTGTAAAGGGGGGCATGCTGTCCCGGAGACCATCCCAGTCGAGGCCAAAGAAAAAAGGATGTGTCCGGAAGTCGCCTGCTCCACCCCGGCCCAGCCGTGTCTCCGGGGGACAGAGGAGCTGCTGGATGAGGTCTCGAGCCTCCTCAGGGACCCCTTCATCTGCCAGCGGCAGAGAGAGATGCTCCTGCTCAGAGGAAGAGGGAGAGGAGGTGATAGTCTGGGAGCGCCCACGGGGAGAGGTCAGGGCTCTCTGGGGCTGCGCTCACCCTGTAGTGGACAATCTTGCCATAGGTCTCTGCTGTGGAGTCCGCGTAGAAGGGCGTCTGCCCATAGAACATTTCATAGGCGAACACGCCCAGCGCCCACCAGTCACACTCGGGCCCGTAGCTGCCTGTCCCAGGCCTACCGCCCACAGCCTGCAGGATCTCAGGGGACAGGTAGTCTGGGGTGCCCACAGCCACCATAGATCGCACCTGGACCAAAAGGAGCAGAGCAAGGTTCAGGCCCATCCCTCTGGGCCCACCAGCTCTGGGCCCTCCTTCCAACCACTCCCGAATATTTATCCCCTCCCTCTGCCTGGTCTGATGCTCAGCCACACAATGCACACTTAGGCCTGGGTCACCTCCTCCTTCCCCTCCAAATCCAGTCGCACCCCCATACTCTGTGCCTCCCATCCCTCATTAGCGGCCTGAATTGCTCTGTGGTTGGCACCCGCTCACCGTTCCATCTGCCCTCAGCTTGAGGCAGGAGCCGAAGTCAGCCAGGCGGATATGGCCACAGCGGTCCAGCAGGATGTTGTCGGGTTTGATGTCCCTGCACCAAGGAAAGAAGAGTGGGAGAAGTGAACCTCCCCTCCGTGGTCCCACCAGGCTCCGCCCCCTTTGGGCAGTGCCGTCTGAAGCCCCACTTCCTCGAGTTCTGCTCCTGTGGGGATTCTACAGTTTTGGACTCTACTCCCAGGCACTGCCCCCGTTGGGCCCCAACCAAGGAAGTCCCTCTCTAGGCCCTGCCCTCTCTGGGCTCCGACCTTCGAGGAACCCTGCCAGGGAACAAGCTTGCTATCCCCTCCCCGACCCAGCCCTCAGCCATTCCGCGCCCACCTGTGCACGTAGCCGAGCCGGTGCACCGAATCTATGGCCATGACAATCTCGGCCAGGTAGAAGCGCGCCATCTCGGCCGGAATCCGCTCCCCAAACTTGCTCAACAGCGTCAGCAGGTCCCCGCCCACGTAGTACTCCATGACCAGGTACTGAGAGGGGGTGCGTCATGGGTGGTCGGTAGTCCCCTGAGGCCCTGATTCATCACGGATGGCCGGGACAACCACTCCCAGAGACACCCCATCCCTGAGCAGAGACCTGCAGCCCCAGCCCAGAGAGAACTATAGAGATCTGCCTGGCCAAATCAGGCCACCTGTGGCCCCGCTCCCCACCCCAGGGAAAAAACACAAAAAACCTTTCCTGGGATGTCACTAGGCAGATTCACTCCCCCTGAGAAGTTCGGGGAAAAAGAACCCAAAGACCGCTCAACACCCAGAGAATAAGTCTCAGACACTCCCTGCCTAGGCAGTGGCCTCGTTAGAATTCCTGAAGAGCTATCCCATTCCAGATAAGAGACTACCCCAGCATAGACATCTTTATAAAAGAATCACCCGAATCGGCCCTGGAAACGGGCAGTGAGAGACACCATTCCCGCCCCAGATAAGGAAGGCCCCTCATCCAAGTGACACACCCTCTTACCACAAACAGATTCTCCCACAGGCGTCTCCAGGCAGCGGCCCCCAATCCTAGAGCCTCCTTTCCCCACCTCCTCGTCCAGTGACAGCATGGGGCTCGCTCCCTCTTCCTAGTCACCCCGGCCCGGAGCTCACCAGATAGTTCTCATCCTGGAAGGCGAAGTGCAGCTGCGTGATCCAACGCCGGTCCCCATTCACCAACACGTCCCTCTCCTCACGGAAGCACGACACCTGCAGGGCACCCGAAGGAGCTGCAGCCCGAGAGGGGGCGCGGATCCTCAAGGCCCCCCACGCCCGCCCCGCCCCTCACCTCGCCTCTCTTCAGCATGTCCCACTTGTTCATGATCTTCATGGCGTACACCTGGCCCGTCTGCTTCATTTTCACCACCGCTACCTGAGGCCGATAGAGGGTGATAGGGTGGAGATGGCGGGAAAGCAGGAGAGCTCGCCCAGACCCAACTCCACCTCCGTCTGCAACCAGTCGTGGCCCCGCCCCATCTACCACACCACGCCTACTTGTCCCAAGCTCCGCCTCCAGCCCTGCCCTAGGTTCTAAGGCTCGGTCATTCATCAATTTCTAAGACCCCGCCCCACTCCCCATGCCCCGCCCACCACTAGTCAAGTGGGACTCCCTTCTGGCTCAGGACTCACCTCGCTGAACGCCCCGCGTCCGATCACCTTCAGAATCTCAAAGTCCTCCCTCTGTAGTCGGACCTCCTTAAGCCTCCCCACGATGGGTTCCGCTGGGGGTGTGGTGGGGGAAAAGAACCGAGTGTCACCAGAAAGGGCACTGGAGACCAGGGAGAAAGCCCCACCCTCTGTCCCTCTGTCTCCCCTTCTCTCTGCTGCTCAGCTTCACCCTAAGACTATCTGCCTCCCAAGAACATAAACACTGTGTAAGGTTCTAGGAACCCAAAACTGTCCTCCCATAGAGGTGAGGTGCCTGGGAAGCCCTTAGGGGGACAGGGCATTGGGCCAGAGGGCTCTAGGGTAGTGCAAGAGGGCAAGGGTGGGGTAAGGAAGTCTGTAGAAGGGCAGACCCTGAAGAACAGGGGAAGAAGGAAATAAGACCCAGTTCTTCCACCTTCCTGGTCTTCCAGCCCTCCACCCCGACTCTAGGTGCAGCTGGGGCCCCACCCGCACGTTCTCATGTAGTATGTACTGGGTAATGGCCCAGACGTGGGGTTGTATCCAGTACCTCTAGATTCAGATGCAAGTGGTTCTTGAACCACACTTTGGGAAACCCTGGATTTGGGGCTGGGGGAAGGAACGGAACAGGGAAAGAAAGCCAGCCTGGTCACACATCCCAGACTCCAGTGCTCCATCCTGGCGCATCTCTTAGTCCCATCCCTTATTAACAGCTGACAATCGGGCTCCCAGAAGTCAAAGTTCTCCAACTAGGAATGTTAAACAGGGCAGCATGGGTGGGGGACAGGCTCGGGTGGAGGCTCGAGACTCAGGGACAGGGAGACCTGGACTCCCAGGGGTGGAAGAAGTGGAGGCTGAATGGAGAGAGAGGTGGGTATGGGAGGGGAAGGAAGGAGGGGAGACACAGTGGGTTCTGGAGGAAAGAGAGGGGCCCTGGAGGGTTCCGGGGGGTTCTGGGAGAGTGGGCCAGCAGGGACAAACCAGCCAGGGCCGAGGACGGGGGAGGGAGGAGAGCGCCAAGACATTGAGCCCTTTTAAGGCATCGGGAACCCAGGCCCCCTCCCCCGCCCCAGGCTTGGCAGGGGAGGGGCCGCAGGATGCAGCTCAGGCCACAAAAGGAGTGCTCCTCCCGGGAGGGCCAGACCCCTACCCCGCCCAGTCTCAGTTTACCCAGCCAGCCCAACTTCATCCTCTGCTAAAGGGAGGCCAGGACAGTCATTAAGGGCTAGGGGAGATTGGGATAAGGTTTTTTCAGAGGCTGAGTGGCCTAACCCTCCTCGGCTTCCACCTTCCCATCTGTGAAATGGGAGAAGGAGGAAAAGGAACCAGGCCTGGGTCAGAAAGACATGGACACAAGAGGAAGCAGGGGAAGGTGGAGAGACAGGAAGCAAGAGACAGTGGCACACATAGGCCAAAGACCAAGTGCCAGTCACTGAGGGCCAGGCATGTAGGGGCTAGAGGGGCAGGGTGCTGGGAGTGACAGAATCCAGTGACCAGTGAGCCCGAGTCCAAGGCTGGGGGAAGAGGGGGACAGACAAGGCAGCTGGCAGTATGGGAAGCATCCTCCTTCCAGCCCTGGCCCTAGGCCCTGGCAAGCCCTTGCAAGAGGGGGATTTGTGGGACAGCTGGAAGGTTGGAGGCCCCGGGGCCAGGAGAACTAAAGGACGCAGGGAGCCAGGGTGGGGGGAATGGCGGCTGACCCGCATGGCTCATAGGGACAAAGACTTTGGGGCTGGGGGGTGGGCGCAGAACCCATAGAGAAAGAAGGCACACCCAGAAGAACCCAAAGCTGTCTGTCCTCAGTCGAAGAGGAGAGGGTGCTAGTGGTGCCTATCTGAAAGCTGCTTCTCCCCCAGGGCCCGAGTGAGTCACCGCCCTCCCAGTGCCTGGGCACCTGTTGGGGCAGCTGGAGAGGCTGGCGCCGAACACCTGCCTGTCGGCTGCGCCCCTGGCAGCTGCCCCATGCTATCCCTCCTGGCTTGCCCCAGGCTGCCGAAACCAGGGGAGAGGGCCATAGGGCCAACTTTTGGGGGCAGGGTCCCAGGAGAGGGAGCTTCCAGAATAACCCTGGCCCTGACCCTGGGGTGGGGTGCAGGGAGGCCATGGGAGGCTGTTGGCAGTCTGGCCTGCTGCGACTCCTAAGCCACGGCTCTGAGTCATAGCCGCCCTGGCCTCTGCTGACCTTTCTCTGCCCCTCCAGGGTGGCACAGGGCAGGGAAATGTTGCCCCAGGACCCAGGTCCACACTCTTGTGCCCCAGGATGGAAGGATCTCCCCATTCCCATCCTGCCATCCTGCCCCCCAACAGCCAGGCCTCTGTGCCCAGACCCATCTCCTGCCCCACCTCCACCCCGCCTGTGGGAGCCCCGAGGGCAGGCACTCACCCCACTGCAAGAAGTCGGCCACATACTTGTCCTGGGCCAGTTCGGAGGCGCCCAGCTCCTGGTGGACGCCCAGGAGAAGGTCGAGCAGGGGCTCCAGCCCCAGGAAGCCGGGGTCCAACACCAGCTGCTGGAGCCGCCTCAGCCGCACCTCGGCTGACATGTTGGACAGGCAGCACCATGGCCCCTCCCCGGGCCGGGGGCTCGGGGTCCTCCTGTCACAGGGCCAGGCAGCCCCTGTCCAGGCCCTGGAGACCTGGTTGCATGTCTGCCTGTCCCTAGTTGTCCCCTGGGCCTCTCTGGCCACTTCTCTCTGCTGCGGAGGCCTCCTCCTCTTCTCCCCACCCCTTGGTCCAGCCCCACTCCCGCCTCCCAGCCTTAACCCCTCACAAGCCAGCCCCCCAAGCTCCCTCCTTCTGGGGCCCTGCAGAACCCTTTAGTGCTAGAGTAGGGGGTACAGATGAAGAATCTCAGCTCTCACACTGTCACCCCAATAAAAAGGTTGAGCACAGAGGAAGCTACAGGTATGATACATTCCAAGAGGAACCCGCCGATTGATGAAACGGGGCCAATCAAGGCTGAGTGACACAGTAGAGATCAACCCCTTGCTCCCAACAAGCTCCAGAGCTGGGGGCTAGGGGCTGGGGCTAGGGCTGGGTGGGAGAAAGGGGCTGAGGCCTGGGAAGGGGGTGGGAGGCCAGGGCAGCTTCTTGGGTGACTCAGAGACAGATTCCAACTCAGACAGTTAAATTTAGCCCTCTGGGTCTCCACTTTACACTTTCTTTTTTCCAGGAGGTGGGGAAGGGGTGGTGAGGAGAGGACCAAGAGGGGGCACCCTTGGAGCCTGAACAGGGGTGACCTGCTGCCCAAAACCTGGGGGAGGCCAGTGGTGGAGCCAAGCCCTCCTCGGGCAAAGGAGACCCCAAAATAGCTCCTTGGCCCCTGGCCGGGCAGCCACATTCCTGCCCAGGCTGGGATTAGAAACAGAAACATTTCGGGGGGTGGAGGGTAGAGTGGGAAGACACACTCTCTACGGCTCCAGGAGCCAGGAGGGATCTGAGCTCTTTTTTCCAGGGTGGACAGTTCTCCAGAGTGGAAGTCAGGGCCACCAGCCGGCCTGGGGCGCCTGGGCCTCGGCAGGGCCAGGCCTGAGAAACTAGGAGGCAAGGACCGAGGAGTCCCACCTGGGCAGGGCCTGGGAAATGTGGTTCAGGGCAGTTTTGGGAATTTAAAAAACATCCACTGAGGACTTTGACAAGGGGCCCTGGCTGCCGGCAGGATGCTCTTCTCCCCAAGAGGGCGCTGGAATGGGTCACCAGCTGTGTGCCTCGAGGGTCCCTTCCCTTCCAAGGCTCCGGCTTTTCCTATTAAAAGGGGTGGGACACGCTTCGCAGGGGAGCAGGCCTGCACTCCTCCTCTGGGGAAAGCGGACTGCCTAGAACCGAAGAGCAAACACACAGGTCCTCTACACCATCTCCTCCGAATGGGACAGAGCCGCTGAGAAAACAGGGAATTTTAGTATAAATACGAGGTCCTGGGGGACAGGGAGGAACCTGAGGGGCTTCCATAATTTAACATTCTTCAAAAGCACAGACAACAGCAAGGGTGGCTGGGGTGGGGGCCGGGCAGGGGCTGGACCACCCCGGCCCTGCCCACTCGACCGAGGGGCACACTGCAGACCTGGGGCTCTTGAGGGAGGGTGGGGAGTCTCTCCCCAGGAGTGACCAGTCACATGCTGGGGACAGGGACGAGGGTAACACTGATGTTTCAGAGGAAGAGGTCATTGTACTTGGCAGTGGGTGGAGGACAAGGCTGAGGCCACAAGGACCGTGACATCCCCCCAATGTCCGGGCCAGTCTGGGGGGCCCCCAAATTTTGTGCAGGTTGGGGGACCGGAGCAGTCCATCCATCATGGTTAGTCTTGTTAATACGTTGATCCGTGAGGTCAGCGGGAAGGGTTATGGCTAGGAGGCTGGGGGTGTGGGGTGGGGGCCCCGATATCCGTGGCTTCACACCACTGTGCCGCTCGGGGAGTTGCCTGCTTGGGAGGAGATGCCCTGGGGAAGATGAGAGGGAGAGATGGGAGGGGTTAGAGACCACCCAGGCTTCAGCCAGTGTCAAGGGGAGGGAGCCAGCCCAGAGTCCTCAAAACTGCTGCCACCCTGGCCTTGCCCTTGGGTCCACCCCAGAACCCCCCAAGGCCGCTGCTCTAGGTTGGGAACTTGCATCTTAGCTTCCTGTCCTGGCAGTCGGCACTTTCAATAATCAAAGTCCTCCACAGATCCTGAGTGACACAATGGGGTAAGGGTGAGGGTGGGAGGGGATGGGGAAACTGGTGCTTCCTTCTAACTTGGGAGGGACCCTGAGGTGCTGGGGAAAGAACTCAGGGACAGTCCTACCTCTACCACTGACTTGCTGGGTGACCTGGGCCAACTTCCTTCCCCTGTCTGGGCCTCGGTCTCCTCGTCTGTGAACTAGGGAGACAGAGGGGGTCTCTTTTAGGACTCAGCCAGACTCCCGGCATCCCACCGATCTTGCCTCTGAGGTGCTCAGACTGTGCTTTCAAGTTCTAGGGACTCAGGGCTCTACAATTCCAAAACCGAGGATTCAAGGAACAAAGCCACGGCCTCTAGGACCCTGGGCACCTGAGTCCAAGCCCTAAGGAGCAGACACCCAAGACCAGCCCCGAACTTACAAGGTGCCAGACCTGTGCTTCGCCTACTGTGACTTCCCAACACCACAGCCCGCCCAGTAAGCAAGTGCATCCACCCACTGTCCATCCTACAGGCTCTGTTCTAAGAGGTGATGATTTGGAGGTCAGAGGGGGCAGTAACTTGTCCGGGGTAACACACACAGGGAGTGGGACTGGAACCCAGGCCTGGGATTCCCAGCCTGCGCCTTCAGCAGGAGGCTCGAATCCTGAGTCCCAGACCCATGCTGGCAGCCACGCCCACAGGCTTGAGATTGCCCCTGGAGTTTTGGCCCAAAGCACTAAAAAAAGTTTCACCATTTAAAAAAACAGATGTCCAACTGGAATAGATTGTGGTTCGAGTGACAGGCACTAAGACCTGGCCATGCAGGGCCCATCTGCTGCTCTTCAGACGGCCAGCCTTGGAAACCCCCACTCCCAGCTGTCTCACACACCCCTCTCTCTGCTGCCTGCTGCCGAGGCTTAGACCCCATCACTCTAAGATCTGAGAGGTCTTGTTCTGGGATGCTAAGACTTCCATGGCTTCCCCTCACCCCACGGAGCCAGAGGCTGTGACAGTGACAAAGCCCTCTCTCTGCCAATGCCTGCCGCTTCCCGCCAAGGGTCCTGCCACGTCCTGGGCAGGCTGGCATGGGGCCACTCACCGCCTTGCCCGGCCGGGCCCAGGTGCAGATGAGGCCCTCCTGGCAGGCGGTGATGATGCAGTCCTCCAGGAACAGTAGGACCGTGAGCCGCTCCTGGGCAATCTTCTTGCACACGAGGGGCTCCAGCAGCGGCACCTCATGGATGCGCGGGCACAGGGCGGTGCCCAGCACCTTGGCGGGGTCCAGGCGGCTGCGGGGGATAGGGCCACTGGGCTTTTCCCCGCCACTGCCGCCGCCACCACTGCCACCCCGGCTGATGTTACCCAGGCTGTGGTAGCGCTTGTGCTCCTTCTCGGCCCCCCGGTCCCGCCGCTCCTGCAGTGTGAGCGTGGCGAAGCGGCCAATGCTGAACGGTGTGCCAGGCTCTGCCACCACGCCCGGGCCGCCCGCCTTGCCCCCGCCTGCTGGGTGCGGGAGGCTGTTGGAGCGGGAAAGTGATCGGGGCAGAGGGCCCGGGCCAGGCTCACCACCCCTTGAGCTGCTGGCAGCCGGCGGTGTGGTACCAGGTGTGCCAGGGAGGGTGCGGGTGCGGGCCAGAGGCGGGTGCGGGTACAGCACGTCTTCAGTGAGGTCCCACAGGCAGAACTGTGTGTCCTGGCCTGCTGAGCCGAAGCGGTAGGTGATGGAACCAGCCTTGGGCAGCGGAGAGAGCGGGGCGCCCCCAGCAGAGCCTGTGCCTGCAGCCTCGGGCTCCTCCTCCTCCTCCTCACCGCTCCGCTCTCCGTCGGCACCGGCTGCTGTTGCTGCCTCCTCTGCGCGTGTGGTGTAAGGGTCAAAGGCCACGGCGTTGACCCAGGACTTGTGGCCGTGGCCTCGAGCCACTACACGGCCCTCGGTGAAGGACCACACGGTGACCAGGTCGTCTTCGCCACCTGTCACCACATAGCGGCCATCGGGGCTCCAGCACACACACAGCAGGCCCCCAAAGTAGCTCTTCATGAGCCCACGCAGGAGCATGGAGTCGAAGTGGAAGACACGCAGGCAGCCATCCTGGCTCACGCAGGCCAGATGCCGGCCGTCAGGCGAGAAGGCGAACTCATTGAGGGGCCCCTCGCCCACTGCCCACTTGGCCAGTGGGTTGCGGGGTGCCTTGCTCTTCGCAGCGTAGACAGAGAAGCCCTCACCCTGCTTCAGCAGGCTGTACTGGGGCGGGGCCGAGGCGCAGGGGTGGCTGACATTATACAGGTACAGGTGGCCACTGGCGTGTGATGCCAGGAACAGGCTCTCCGACTCAGGCAGCCACTTCAGATACGTCACCTTGGTCTTGTCGATCAGCCGCTGCCAGGGGAGACAGGATGGGGTTGGGAGAAGGCAGTAAAACCCAGGCAGACCTCTTCCCCGACCCGAAGGCCCCAAGGCTGCTGGACACGGCCCCACTCACACAGCAGTTGTCACACCAGGCCCTCCTCAGAAAGAAGCTCCCAAACTGGGGGAGACAGATGGACACCAGGTTGTGGAAACGTTGGGGAATGGGGTCTGCTGCAAGGTGGCCACAGGGTGCTCCAAGGAACCTCGATGTCCCATCTTTGGTGAGGGGACAGTCCTACTTGCCATAGAATTGTCTTTTATCTCGGGGTCCCCACCCTCCGGGCCACACAGCAGGAGGTGAGCGGTGGGTGAGCGGTGGGTGAGCGGGCATGAGAGCCTGAGCCCGGCTTCCTACTGGAGCAGCTGCAGCATTCACTTCTCACAGAAGCGCGAACCTGACGAACCCAACCATGAACTGCGCATGCGAGGGATCTAGGGTGTGTGCTCCTTATGAGAATCTAATGCCTGATGATCAGAGATGGATCACTGGTTCATCCCAATCCCAATACCATCCCCACAACATTCTGTGGAAAAACTGTCTTCCCTAAGACTGGTTCCTGTGCCAAAAAGGCTGGGGATCACTGCTCTGCCTAACCCTCCCCCAATCTTTACTATGTCAGACTTCAAACAAGAAATTTCTTTACAGAAAGCCAGCTCCTCCTAGGTTACACCTGTAACCCTAGCACTTTAGAAAGCCAAGGCAGGCAGATCACAACGTCAGGAGTTTGAGACCAGCCTGGCCAACATGGTGAAACCCCATCTCTAGTAAAAATACACAAATTAGCTGGGCATGGTGGCTACTCAGCTACTCAGGAGGCTGAGGCAGGAGTACTTGAACCAGGGAGGCGGAGATTGCAGTGAGCCGAGTTTGTGCCATGCGCGCTAGCCTGGGCGACAGGGAACTTGGTTTGGTTCGCTGTTCTGTAAATTAGTGCATACAGAAGGCAGCTCGAAGGTGATTCCCGGACAAATGACAACCCCCTATCCTGCTAGGTGCTCAGACAAAAAACCTAAGCATCTGCCCCTCTTTTCCTCAGGCCCAATCCTTCAACGAATCCTGTGGGCTCTACCTTCAAAACACACCCAGAATCTAACCTCCTCTCACCACCCCACTCCAGCCACCCCAAGCCTGCAATACTGTGTGACTGGCCTCAGTCTCTACTGTCCGGGCCTGTCTGTCCTCTGCAGCTGCCACAGAGATGCTCTGTGAAGTATCAGCTAGCACCTGGCACTGTCTGGCTCTCAACGCTTCGCAGCCTCTCTCAAGCAGGGTTCCAGAGGCTGAGGACCTAATGCCCTCAGGCAGCCAGCCTATGTGACTAAGGAGCTGCTCTCCCTTAGGGGATGAGGTGCTGACCATCTTAGGGAGAACTGAGCAAATAATCACTCCAGCCATTTCTGCCTTCCAGAGCTCAGGTGAGCCTGCTGAGAAAGGCTCCTCCACAGGCTTCCATCTAAGAGTAAAAGGCAAAGTCTTTTCCATGGCCTTCCAGACTCTCCATGAGCCGGTCCCTCTGTTGTTTCTTGGAACTCACCTACCATCCTCTCTCCCTCAGTAACTCCTCTGGCCATGCGGCTTCTGTGCCAGCTTGCGTTTGCCCTAGCTGGCCCCACTACTCAGAATGTCCTTCTTGGCCATACAAAGTGGCTCACACCTATAATCCCAGCACTTTGGGAGGTAGAGGCAGGCGAATCGCTTGAGCCCAGGAGTTCGAGACCAGCCTGGGCAACATAAAGAGACCTCATCTCTACAAAAAATACAAAAGTTAGCCAGTTGTGTTGGTGCACACCTGTAGTCCCAGCTACTCAGGAGGCTGAAGCGGGAGCACTGGTTGAGCCTGAGAGGCAGAGGTTGCGGTGAACCAAAATCGCACCACTGTACTCCAGCATGGATGACAGAGTGAGACCTTATCTCAGGAAAAAAAAAAAAAAAAAAAAAAAAAAAAAGGATGTCCTTCCCCAGATAACTCTTCGCGCCTGCCTCCTTCAGGTGCTTATTTCAATATTACCTCCTAGTGAGGCCTTTCCTGACCACCCCACTACACTCTCCAAGCTTCCCTCAGCCCCTTCCCCACTGTTTTCTTCTCCAAAGGCCTTAATCACCTGCTGACACACGAAGACTTAACTTGATTAACTGTCCGTCTCCCCAGCTAGACTGAAAGCTCCAAAAGGGCAGGGCCTCCTGTCCAGGCCCCTGAGATGTGATATCCCTAGTGCTGGGAACAGTGCCTGGCACAGAACAGATGCTCAAAAACTATTTGTGAATGGATGAGCTAATGAATTTTTAATCCACTCGCTGTTCCACTCACTCCCTTCAGCCATTCACT